TGCCTACTGTGCGACATGCGGCACAATGCCGTAGGTCTTGACTTTGCTGGGGGCGAGGTTTCGTTTTTTTTCTCCTGTACACTTCGTTTTCACATGTCACTCACGCTCGCCAGCGATCACCCGTCTTTTGCAGCCTGACAGAGTCGTTTCTGTTTTCTGAGTGACAGTGTTTCCTGTTTCTCTGACTGTTCTCGTTTACTTTGACGAATGCCCGTGACACTAATCGATACTTCCGGTACTGCCGATCACCCGATTGACCGTGTGTGTATTCACTGAGTAACAATAAGCCGTGTTTTATGTTAGCATGGAGTATGACCACGAACATATTGAGGAAATGCTGCATCTAATATGTATTAGATACATATTACACAATACTAATTTGGGCCTCGATTGAAGCAAAAACCATAGCTATGGTAGAGAAAAGCAATAAGGAAATTACTTGATATACATTCTATTGTATCCGTCAAATGTACGATTTTCATTCTCATTCGTCGTAAGGTTATCTTTGCCAAGTGAATTTATTTTCTGGATGTGTGATGTAAATTGTCGACCGCATAATTATTACGAAAAAAAGCAGAGGAAACATGCACATGGAAAAATTGTCTCAGCCTAGCGTAAAGACTAACATGTCGATTTCTAGTTGATGACATAATCTGCTGATTTAATTATGGCGTGCTACTTTTAATAATCGCCTGACGTAATTAATTACCAACTTTTGTCGCTTAGTTACTCTTAAAATGTCTTCCTTATCTAAAGAAGAAAATCAAATCATTTCCAGCTCCTCATTGCTTTTCCTATGAAACCTTGAAACCTCATTCGCTTTCGGGTCAGCAAGCAAGCGGGTTGAACATCCTATGTCTTCATTGCAACAATTTAATATGCTAAAAGCAAGCTCTGTTGTACACGGCATTTTGTGTGAAAATGTCGTAGCGGACTATCGCCTGTTCTCAACTGACTCTCAGGGTATTTCTTGGTTACTCAGCATCATTAACGCACTCTCTGAGGAAAATCACAGTCATGGGACTTTTTCGATCTATTCACATATGATGGCCTTTTTAACACCTTGGCGTAAACTTCTGTCTTCTGTGACTTTTATCCATCTTTTATCCATCAACAGTTTCTTCAGTTCATCTTTCTATCAACCTTGGTATCTTCCCGGATTATTGTCCCAATCCATCGACTGTTCGACCTTTCATCAACGTGCCCTACTAACGCCACTTCAACATCTTCACTTATGAAGTGACATGACAAACTCATGTTTGTGCTTCTTTCGTCTTCCTATCCTTTCTGTTATTCTCAACCTTCTTCTTTCCATGGCATTTTGCGCAGTCTACAGGTTGTGAATAGCTTTCAGCAACAACAGAGAGTGTACCTTCTGCTTATCATCTTCTTCCTCATCTTCCTTGAACGCTTCTCCTTTCCGGTCGCAGAGGCAGGTATGCCTCCAACGTTCGCCATCCTCTGTTAGAGTCTGAGTTTCGGCAGAAGACAACCGGACTCTGGAGCGACCCCTCCTTCTGCTGATCATTACACTAAGTAAACAGCATTCGTATGGGTCAGAACAAATCGCTGCCTTATTAGGAGCTCGCGTCCAATAGCACTGCCATACATCTCACCCGTTCTGGCATGATCACAACAACAAACCGTGCTGTTCACGCTGTTCGCCGGCCAACGACACCAACGCCCATTCTCGACGCATTCCACCAAAACTACGCAGAGTAAATTCCTTGCTCAAGAGAATTAAGCATTTTCAAAATTAGCACCCTCCCCTCCTCTCCCTTGCTTTGCCACTGTGCCAAAATTTTGC